CTAATACCGTAAGTTTTGAAGTAAAATTAAATCGATTTTCGCATTTCTCGTCAAAAATATTGTTCGTATTTTCAAAGCTGCATATTTTCTAAAATAATGAATCGATTTTCAAAAAGTAAGAATCGATGTATAGAGAATTAAAAGCCCTTTCTAATGACCCCCCACTTGACCCCCATTCCCATTTAAAAAAATTTGGGGGATGGCACACCCACTTAGGGGGTTGAAGATTTTGCTATGCTTTTTACGCCAAACGTTGTCCCCCTCAGAAGCAAACTTTACCTGTTTTTGGATTTTGCCGAAAAGTTCATTACTACCCTGTAATGCCTTGCGGTATGTTTTCGATGGGCTACGCTGTATATATTAATGTTCTGATGTCTGCAAAAATATGTGATTGGTCTTTTACCCATAACTCGCTTAGTTTTTAGCTATCAAGCCCTTCAAAAAAACCCATTTTGTAGTTTTTTTCAAGGGTTATAAGATCAAATAAGTTAAATTTTCATTCAGTCCTTATTTTTGTAAGGGTTTGAGCTGAAAGAGCTTGAACAAGTCGCTATTTACGAACGTATGCAAATTTTAAACGGATATATCTTACTTAATTTTTAACCTTCACCAAGCTATTACTCCGCTTGTATCGGGTTTACAGACACCATAACACCATTCTTTTTGTTTTTTATAAGCTACATTTTTTATAAGAATGATTTTTTTGATAAAATACTTACTTTTTGAGTTATTCGCGAAAAACGGTCTAAAAAAGTGGTTTTCTTGGTTAAAAAATTTACACTTTCACTCACGAATAAGTCGAAAAGTATTGACTTTCAGAAAAAACTTTATAGAACAAGTTGCTTAGAATTAGTCAATATATCCATTCCCGGAGTTATTTCCAATGAAACATTTTTCACCCCCGAGAAGGGGTGGCATTCACCCCCTGGGTAAAAGCAAACCCCTGTACAAGGTCAACTTTGAAGTAGAGGGTAAGTAGAACCTAAATTCAAATTTTTATGAAAATCGGTGCTGTTTGGCAAAATTATACGGATAAATGGTCATTGATTGGACTATATCCCTACCTCTTTCTCTCGCTATTTTGTAAATCTCGACAAGCTTGTCGCCTGTAGGATCGGTAAAGGGGTTGCCCAAGCTGCCGAAGGGTATTCTGGGTTCGATGTAGGGTACGTTTTTTCTCTTCCAGTATTGGTATCTCCACTTGAAGCAAACGAAGACTACTGCCAGTAACGCCGCCACTATACTTAGGGAGTTTAGGAAAACGGATATTATAGAGGACATAGCATCTGTTCTGAAAGAGGAAAAGTAATAAAGTACATTTAACACTTAGATAAATATTGTGAAATTATCACATAGAGTTTGGTAACCTCCACAAAACCAATATTAATGACCATTGTTGAATAAATGTATCATTAAAATGACGCCCTTCTCATTAAAACAGTATGTAATAATGATAATGATTAGTAGCACTGATTCCTGATGTCAACTCTATTGACTAATGTATGTATAACGAACTAGACCCATATCGGACCCGGAGCATCTAGATTTGATCTGAAATACCTCATTGGAGTTTTACAGACAAATGATTATAAATAACCGGGTATCAAATGAATCATCAAAGTAGAGAAACAACAAGGTACACAAAAAGAATGTGACAAACATCAGCAGGTAGTCTCCCTGCCTTACGTTCATAGTATATTGCCAAGTTATTGCAGAGAAAAAGAATAGTAATATGTATCGTTAAGAAGATTCTAGGATGAGCAATGAACAAGCAATGACATCAGGCCTGAAAGCACAACGGCACTTGCGATTCCGCAGACGAACGTGAGGCCACGCCCTTTATCCCTCTCCACAGGACTAGAGGCGCGCTCGACAATCCCCACTTCTGTACTGAGCAGGCCTAGATGTGCGATACGGGCGATATAAAACAGGTGACAAAGTCGCAAGCGGTGTCAATTGTGGCGAAGCTTTTGCAGGCTCATCGCTGAAGATGCCGACAGCGAAACGTTTGGAAGGTTTGCATGGGACCAGACCAATTTTTGTAGTAAATCAACTGCCATAAAATTCTATCGTACGATGCTGATGTGTATTGACGAGCTGATCTACGATTTTGGACATATGGTGGTAGATTACTATTTGATGGTAAATAGATATATGCATGAAACGAAAAAGAAGCAAAGGAAATCCTGAATGAAAATTGAAGTGAGCCAAACAAAAGGAGAAAAAATCTAGACTAAATCTTCTAGTATCTATCAATATTTGAAGCATTACAATACTGATTCTTAATCCAAAGCTGAAGAGTTGATTGAGTCTTTGAATACCCAAAAATGTGCAACAGATACCACAAACTTGAAGCCTACTAAATGCAGAGTTTTAGCTACTTTTTGAGAGAGACTTTAATAGTTTAAAACAAGACTGGATGGTAATGCAGCATTTCCCGAGGCAGTATCTGTTTCCGGTGGTCAAAATTCACGGCATGGATCTACAAATCTAAATTATTTACTCACCTTAAATTCGTTCTATTATTTGTAGCTGCTCCTGTGCTGAGCCTATGATGGAATAGACCAATGTGAAGCTTGTCAATGTTTCAGTTTCGTTCACACAAATGCTATTAAAATGCCAGTCCAAACAATTATGTCGCACGTTATGAAATACACTAGTAGCTATTTTCTTATATTTATCATATACCTAATTAAAACGTTCATATTTTAATCTTACGATAAACACAAATGGAAACTTTTAGTTATACTATTCAGTTCAGTTTAATTGTAATGGCTTAATACCTCTTGGGTAGATTAAATAAATAAGTTAAAATATAATTGCATCGACGGAAGTGATAAAGCTTAGGATAATATATTATTAACATGTGTCATAATGACATGTATTAGCGTGTTTTGAAGAATTATCTATACTCCAGTCCAGACATTTTATTACACCTTTCGACAGGGATTTTGATTATATTAAAAAGGTAACTCGAAAGAAGTCACGCTAAGTTGGCAAATTGCAAATAAGTGGCTTTACATGTTTTTTCACTTTTTTTTTTTACTGTCCACGAACATCTAAACGACCTATGGGAAAATTAGTCATTTTATGCTGTAGGCAATTAAATTACCTACAATTCAAGGTACCTAGAGTAATTTTTCACTAATATGTTAACTGTAAAATTAAGGTCGAACGCGGAACTCTCAGTTTTCGAAAACTGCGCAATACTATTGCAAAAAACGATGGATGTTGATGAAATTTATGGAAAAGACGGTCAATCCAAAGATCAACATGTGTGCCAAATACGAGCTGACCTTTGTCAAAGTTGATTTAGGACAAGTGATTTCAATGTTTTTACAGAATTGGACTGATAGCTGTTTAACAATAATAATAATAAAAATAATAATAATAATAATAATAATCGTTTATTAGCCCAACGGAAATAATTCCAATTACAGAGCTAAAGTAACTGGTATTACATAAGCTTAAATTTAAGACACATGAATTACAAAAAAAATATATTATACATGTTAGTAGAGGCTTTACAATATATAACCTAAAGAAATAGAGGCTACTTAAATAAGGAATAACATAAGTTAATTATTGACTTGGTTAACTATACTTGAGCACAATGTTTTCACAGAACAATAATTTATATCACAAATACTACATATGGTGTTGAAAGTCTTACACATAA